TGAGTGAGTGAGTGAGTGAGTGAATGAGTGAATGAGTGAGTGAGTGAATGAGTGAGTGAGTGAGTGAGTGAGTGAACGAGTGAGTGAGTGAATGAGTGAGTGAGTGAGTGAATGAGTGAGTGAGTGAGTGAGTGAGTGAGTGAGTACAGCTTTGGGGGCCACATCTGCCAGCCATTGTCATTGGTGCATTACACATCACCTCCGTGTGTCTGTGCACCAACGGGGCTGTGGGCGTGGGGCTGTGGGGACATGGCAAGGAGACAGCCAGCCAGTGTGCGACCATCGTAGCCGAGACTGGAGAGGGACTGAAGTCCGGTGACACCATCTGCAGCCTCTCCCTAGGCCAGATCACACCCCAGCTGTGCGTGGGAAGGGAAGAAAGCTTGGAGTCCTGTTCCTACTATAAGGCATGATCACCTCACTTTCTCTACTTAAAACCCTGCAACGGCTTCCCATCACCCCTAGATCAAACCCCCCAAACGAACAACGCCCTGGCATTGAGTTGATTCTGACTTAGAGCGACCCAGAGCCCAGAGTCGAACTGCCCCTGTGAGTTTCTGAGGCTGTCAGTCTTTACGGGAGCAGAAGGCCTCCCTTTTCTCCCGAGGAGCCACTGGTGGTTTTGAGTTATTGTCCTTGCAGTGAGCAGACCAATGCTTAACCAACTATGCCACCAGGACTCCCTGTTTCAAGCCCAGACCACTGAGACTGACCAGCGCAGCAGCCTGTGCCCAATCCATTCTTGTGCCTCCTGCCTGGGTGTCCTGTGGTCCGGGCCCTCCAAGGGCCACGCACCGTCATGCCTCAGAGCCTTCACATGTGCTGTTCCCTCCACCTGGCATGCTCTTCCCTTCCACCCAGCCCCTTTTCTAAACAGCTCCGGGCCTTCCAGGCTCCCCTCTCTCCCCATCGCTTGACTCAAAACCCAAAACACACCTGCTGTCATCCAGTCAGCCCTGACTCTGGCAACCTGACTACTTGCCTGAAGGTTGGTGGCTTAACCGCCCCTGGTAGCACCCCTGGTAGCACCACGGAAGAAAGGCCTGGCAGTCTGCTTCCGTGAAGATTGGTTGTTGTGGTGGTTAGTTGCCTTCCAGTGAATTCTAATTCCTGATGACCCCTGCAGCCCTCACACTTCCTGCAAGCCCGTCTCCTCCAGGGAACCCCGCAGGACTGGCCACAGCCACCCCCAAGCCCCGGGTGCCCTCGGCATGCATGATCATCCCTCTGGACACCCTGGCAGGAAGTGCTCTTGCCCCCTTTGGTCCCTGGATGGAAGGAAGGCAGAGGAGAGGACGGCTGGGCCTGAGCATCACCAGGAGCTGAAACAGAGATGTCCTCAATCTGCTGAGTTCTGCTGGGTGTCGTGTGTGTGTGTGTGTGTGTGTGTGTGTGTGTGTGTG